CTACATAGGTTACAAAGGGAGTAATGGAGGAATTAAGAATGAAATACATTGATGGATAACCAATGCTAATGGATGATGTAGAAGTCATCCATTCTTATAACTCCAAAATAAAGTAATTTAATATGTTAAATATTAATATTAAAATGCTAATAACCTAACATAAAATGTTGTGATTTTTCAAAAAAAGATATGTCTATTATAATAAAAGTATTTGCATAGACATGAATATTGGTGAATAGTCATTTGTTATGTTTTTGTAAAAATAACAGTTGGACTATATTGTCTTTATTGAAACCGATGAAACTTTGTTCATAGGTAGTTCTATAACAATCACATTGAAAGTTATGGAAATGTCTTTCTGAAAAGGATATTTGACAATCTAAACAATGTTTGTATCACACAAAATTGTAAGAAATAGGAACAAAATATTAGTGAGGAAAAAGCTATCTCGCGAAGAGCTTTTCAAACTCAATGTTTTTATTTGTTCTTACTTGCTTGAGTCAATGTTTGTGACATGAACACTTGTGGCATGTCAATTACAAAACCTTGTAAGAAAAACTGATCAACTTAGAAGTTTTGCCTAACTTCGAGTGCAATAAATAAAAATGTCAAGTTTTTGTGGAATCTAAGTATGTTGAGCATTCTAATGAAAGGAATTCTAATCCCTTAGAATTGATTTACTCTGACATTTATGATATGAAGTTAACACCATCTCATGGTGGGAAAAAGTATTTGTTACTTTTATTGAGAATTGCATTAGAAATGACTATGTCTATTTGCTAAATGGTTAGGATGAAGCAATAGAAATGTTTAGACAATGTAATATCGAAGTTGAAAATCAGTGTGAAAAAATATATAATAAGTGATAAGAATGGAGAGTATAAATCTCATTGTGCAAAAATATGTTTGGAAAGTGAAATATCAAACTACTGTCATATTCACCTCAATCTAATGAAAAACCGAACGTTGAAAGAAATGATGGATGCATTATTTATAAGTTCGGGTTTACACAAAACTTGTGTGGAGGAACTATCCTTACTACAAAAGGGATCAACAAAAAGTTTTGTCCTTTTAGAAAGAAAGCGATTTTGTTTGATCAGAATACATCTTTTCCATATGAGAAATGGAAAGAAAGGAAATCCAACTTGAAATATTTCAAAGCGTGGGGGTATCTAGTGAAAGTCCAAGATCCTATTCCTAACAGAATTAAAATAGGACCTATGACTGTGGACTGTAAAATTAGACTTGAGTAGTCTAGAGAAGGGTCTAAAAGGCCTAGGAAATGAAAATGATAATATACTTAATAAAGAGATTCAGAGGCTTAGTAAAATGTTAAAGAACATTTACTTCCTTCGAATATGATTTTGTAACATTTTTTGTGTCTTCTGTAGACTGATCCTTTGGAAAGATGGTGTCAATAAACAATATTGAAGGTTAATTGATCTTCTTCAAGAAAATAAACCTTTGGGTTCAAAATGAATCTTTAGAAGGAAAAATAACAGTTGATGGAACTGTTGAAAAATATAAAGCAAGACTTTGTGTCAAAGGCTTTAGAAAAAAAATTAAGATTTTGATCTTGTCGATATATATACTCGTTAGTAATTAGAATTACATCCATTCGGATGCAAAAATTATTACTGTGGTATATGACCTCTAAATTCATCAAATGAATGTGAAAGAACTTTCTTAAATGTAGAATTGAAGGAAGAAATTTACATGGAACAACTTGAGGGTTTTGTGCTACCTGGTAAATAAAAGAAAAGTATGTGAACTTGTTAAGTCACATTATGGAAGCACCAAAACAATGACATAATTCAATCAAACCATGTCGGCAAATGGATTGAAGAATGATGGAAGTGATAAATGTGTTCACATTAAAATCATAAGGTCATTGTTTGTTTGTATATTGGTTATATGTTGATCATCAATAGAGACACTAATGACATAAATGCTACTAAATGTATGCTATAAAACAAGTAGAATAAAATTATTGGAGTTGCTAATGCGATCTTAGATATAAGAATTCGTAGAACTCCATAATGTTTAGCGTTTTCATGGTCTCATTGCATTGAAAAGGTACTTAACTAGTTCAAAT